CAAATAACACAAACAAAAATACATTAATAAAGTATTGTACAAGTAAAACACTAATTGTTTTTTAGTTATAAAATAGAAGAATAAATGGTTAATGATAAATTTAAAAAATAATTTAAAAAGATAAAACTAATCAAAATATTAATGTTAAATAAGTTAGTGTTTATTAAACACAGAAGAATACAAGTTATAATAAAGATAAAATAAAACACTTGATAACTCTCTAGTGTTTGTAACAATTTGTTTATATTATGAAATTTACAGATAAAAAGTGAAATAAAAGAGTTATAAAAAATACATACATTAAATAATTTAATTCATATAGAAATACATACCTATAACATAGTAATTATAAAAACATTGAACTATTAAGTTAATTCAAAAAGAATAATTCAAAATCTAAAAATATAGAAATAATATTCTAAAACGAATAATTTAAACAAGTAGATAACAGATAAGATACAAAAAGGAAAAATGAGATAGATATAACATATAATAAACTAATTGTTTTTTGATATTTATTTGATTTCCAAAACAAATAAAAGAAGGTTATTCAAGTTTTAATGTAAATATTATTGATAAATTATTTAGGTTCAAATGAAATTAAATTTTTGGTAATGAGTTATTATAAACCAATTGAAAAATAAGATTTTTTAACTCATACCCCTTTATTCTTGACTCTATTTTTATGTGTCAGGATTTTCAGTACGAGAAAACTTTAGTATATGAAATACAACAAAAACACTACTTTGGAAAAAATACAAAAGTGATGAATTTTTGAAAATTTCTTAAAAGTTAAATGATTAAAAAATACTTAATTGATGTTAGATGCAATAAAAATTTGGAACCCACAAGAAACAGAACACGCATCTCCCTGTTCATTCCAAATTATTTTTGTGATTTTTGGTCGCTTTGAATTGATAAGAAGAGGGTCAAGAGTAAATTGTTTAACTGATTTAGTTGTGTCCATGATAAATGCATTCCAAAATACTATATCATCATTATCACACCCAATAGCAACCACTCTGTGATGATGAGATGTAGCGATAATATCTAGAGAATTGAACTTTGTTAATGATAATTCGTTAACGAACTGGTTTGTGTTTAAGTCAAAACAATATAGTGATGATGATGATGTACGAAGGAATAAACACTGATATCCTACATCCATTGAAATAACATTTTTGTCTAAGGAGATAATTGTTTTATTTGACCCTCTGACAATAACTAGTTTTTGTGAATCACTTGTTTGAGAAATATAATAGATAGTCCCATTGTAGGTAACTAATTGGATAATATTATTTGCAGTATATGAAATAGAACTTGTTGCTTTTTTGTTATATGCATTAACAATAGTATAACCATTTTGTTCAACAAAAATATAACTATGTTCATCTATTGGAGTACAAGAAATAATTCTTCCAGGAGTTGAACAGTTTGTGCTTTCAATCTCTTTTTTATTTAAATTACAGAAATAAAATTTTGAATAATTATTTTCTCTCATACAAAACATAATTTCTTTCTGTTCTAAACTTAAACAACTACAAACATATCTTCCATTGAGTTTTTCAATACTAATCCTTTCATTTTCTTCTCCATTTCTTTCAATAATTTTGAATTCTTTTCTATTTTCAACTACTAAATTCATATCTTTCATTCCCAAAATCTCTATCTCTTCTCTTTCTTTTCTTTCAATAGCTTTAAATGGAATAATTGATTGGATAAATTTTACTTCTGTTATTTCTTCTTCATATTTACTGTTTTCTTCTTCCTTTTCTATTGTTTTTATTTCTTTCTTTGGAATAATCTGATTCATCCATATCATTTCTCTCTTTTCTTTTAGTCTTCGTTGAGTAAGTTCAATATTTTCCATTTGAAATAGTTCTATTTTTCTTTCTAGTTCATTTATCCGTTTTTCTTTTTGATTGACCTCTTCTTTTATTTTCTTTTCTGTTTCTTCCTTCATTCTTTTAAATGTTTTCTCTTCAATTTCTTTTTTCTCAATTATTCCTTTCATCTTATTAATTTCCTCTTCCATTCCTTTTGTTTTTTCCTTCTCTTCTTTAATCATACCTTCTATCTCTTTGTTCTTCTGTTTAATTTCTTCAATTTCTTTATCTTTTTGAATACTTTCTTCTATGACACTTTTTGTGTTTTCTTCTTTCAAGTTATGCTCATCTATTATTCTTCTCATTTCAGTGTTTTCTTTCTCTAATTCTTCATTTCTTTTTTGAATTATATCTTGTGTATTTTGAAGTTTACTTGTTTGTTCCTCCAATTCCTTTATCCTTTCTTCTTTGGTATCTGGTGATAAATCCACATGGTATTTCTTTGTTTCTTCTACTTCTTTTTTCAATTGTTCTATCATGGTATTCTTTTCCTTTAACTGGTAATAATGTTTTCTATCTTCGTTATTTTTATTTTTCATTTTAAGAGTTGTTTACAAACATTTTCATTTCATTCTCTTCATTTCTTTTTGAAATTAACATTTTTAATATTTCGTTGTCGTTCATCCTTTTTATTTGTTTTATATTTTTTTTAGTTCCTTTCTTTATTCTTTTTATTCTTTCATTAATATAAACATCATTATGAAGAGTGATAGTATGTCTATAAAATATTAATCCTATTTGTATAAATATTTGTTACTTCATATTAAATTTACCACCAAATTCACAA